GTGAAGGTAGGGCTAGGGGAGGCAAGCTCCCCTCCTCTCTCCCGGGGTACCGGTGGGTGAAGGTAGGGCTAAGGGAGGCAAGCTCCCCTCCTCTCCCCCGGGGTAGCATGGGTAGATGGGGCGGTGCATGGGAAGGGCAGGCACTCAGGAGCAGCAACACTCTGCCCTCAGTACCCCTACAGTAGGTGCTCTGGGGGTGGAGTCTGGGTGGGGCCAGGCTGGCGGTATGGGAAGGCATTGCCTTCCCCTGCCTATGATACCTGCTGCCCCTGGTTGTGATCTATTAAGCAGCTGCTGCATTCCACCTCTGCTGACGGCATTTCAGTGGTAGGCAGAGGGCGCCTTCCCAGGTGCAGTGGGAGGGCTGATGTTTGCAAATCCATTTGATTTTGGCCAGTGAAAGCCCCTTGTTGGACAGTAGAGTGTAACTAGCATGCAGCGCTGCTGGGCACTGTGAAAGACCGGGTGGTGTCTTTGTTTCAGCAGAGGGGAGATCTGGTTCCTTTCCATATTGAACTGTCTTTGTAGGGCGCAAGGTGAATCGACATGTTTCAGCAGAGGGGAGATCTGGTTCCTCTTCATATTGAACTGTCCTTGTAGGGCGCAAGGTGAAGCGACATTGTCCTGGAAATGTCAGGCAGATGAACGTACCATTGTTTTTTCTGGGCAGTCGGGCTGGGATCGCCGTAGAGCAGAGCACAGCACAGATCCAAGTGTCCCTTTCTTCCAAGGGGCTGCAGCTAATTTGCTTGGCAGATTTGCTTTCAGTCTTCCTGCTGCTGCTACCAAAGACATTTGAGTTTGGCTAACGGCTCTTGCCCTACTTGCTCCCAGTCTTGGTTCTTCCCCATTGGTTCTATGCTTGCCCCATACGGGGGTGTGATGCTGTGAACTTAACCATCAGGGCCTCACAGGGAAATACTTGGCGAGGAGGAGAAATGGGATAGGGCCACGTGTGGTGGTTTTGCCAAGCAAGCTCTTCGCCTGCCAGCCTTTGTTTCCCTCTTCCCTGCTGTGTTGGTTGAAGTGAAGAAATGGCTCTAGGTCAGTGTTTCCCAATTTGGGGAAACGCCGATCTAGGTGATTGCCCTACAGCCAGGAGCTTCTGTCTCCACCAATAATGCTGCACAATGTCCGATGCAGAGATTCTACAGTGGGGAGGCACCATTGTGATCATGTATTGTACAGGAGGGCAGATTACAGGCCAGAACTGTCCCAGTAAAATCCCTAGAGCAGAACTTTCAGGGGAAAAACATCCCGTCGTCCATTTAAAAAATGGACCAGGATGGAGAATCCACCATGGCCCTTGGTAAGTTCCAATGGTTCGTTGCCCTCATCGTTAAAAATGTACACCTTATTTCCAGCCTGAATTTGTCTAGCTTCAACTTCCAGCGATGGGATTGTGTTGTTGGTGAGATGAGAGTGAAGGAATGACAGGCAGTCGGGTTAAAAAAATCACCTTTTTCAAGTCACTTTTTTCATGGAAGAGACGGATAAACTTCTCTAGAGCTACAATATGGAAGCACTTATAGAATCATGGTGCGCCTAGCTAGGAGATGAAGAATCGTGAGAATCATGGTGCGCCTAGCTAGGAGATGTAGAATCCTGGTGAAAAAGTGAAAAAGTTAACCAGTTACAGGCTATGTTTAATCGGTTAACCCTGGAGTAGCTCCCTACCCATGTTGGGCTGCAGCAGGCCCAGCCAGCCTGGAGCAGCTCCTCACCCGTGGTGCCGTGGGTGGGGACTGCCACGCTGCGAGTTGCTCCAGCCAGGCCGGGCTGAGTCTGCTATGCCGCAAGTGCGGGGACTGCTCTGGCCAGGCTGGGCCGCCGGTTACCAGGCAAGCATGCCAGTAAGGCTAATGCTTAGTGGGTAACTGGTTAACCCATTACATTCCTACACCTAGTGCAGCAGTTCCTGATCTAAAAAGGGCAGGTGTTACATCTCCTAAAGCAGCTCAGTGGACTGATGCTACAGCTGTCCTCCGAGAGGAGAGTTCTGTGACGTGTGGTACAATTCTTCCCAAATACCCACATTCCACTGTCTTATTGCTGTCCATCTGTCTTGGGTGCTTCCATGGCCCTGTGACTGCAGTGTCATCATCTTTCCTAGTATTTACCTACCCAACAATGCTGTGAGTCAGGGCAGCACTGATTGCAACAGTTAGCAGGTGGGCAGCTGAGGCGCAGAATTAAGTGCCTTGCTTGAAGTCACACGGGAAATCGGCAGCAGAGCAAAGACTCAAATCTAGGTGTCTCAGGATCCATGTTCGTGCCCTGACTGCGCATACAGTGCTACTGAGGCACGCTTCGAATGGGTGCAATTTGAAACTCTAGCTTCCATTCTGTGACTTTCTCCTTTCTGTCTGAACTAGAAGACGTTCAAAAAGGAAAGTTTCACACCCTGGTTCTTGTACTCTCTGCAGGCAGTGTTTGGGGTGCAGACATGTCTTGCTGTTAACGTGCCCTACCTCTGGGGTGCCAGAGCTGGGCTGGAGGCAATGCATGTAGAACAAATTGGAGTCTCTGCCCCACAATCTTCCATCGGCAAGCAGGGAAACAGACTGGGAGAAGTGTGGGGATAGGTGGTTCATAAGCTGGCTGCAGCCTGGAATCAGAACAGGTGGATTGTCAGGATCTATTTCTGGGGGAGGGTGCCTGGCAGACAGAGCCACCTCCCAGTTATTACTAAGTGTAAGGAGTGGCAAGAAGGAGTGTTACAAGAATCTAGGGCGTGGGAGGAGATTGGGAAAGAAGTGTAGGCTGGGGGTGTGGCCGGGTAGAGTCCTGGAGGTGAGGGTGCGTGTTGAGTACCTGCTGTGGAAGGAGAGCAGGCGCTGCAGTGACAGGACCGAACAAGCCAGGAGACATGATTGGAAGGAGAGGTGGTCTCAGCGCTAGAGCTTTGAAGGCGCTGCAGGAGGGGGGTGCAGGAATCCAGGTGAGGGGCTGCCAGGTACGGTCCAGGACTCTGCCGAGGGGAAGGACGGGCTGTAAAGGATTTGGTCAGAGTCTAGCACTTCGGGCAAGGTTTTCAAAATGCTTTCCGGGGCTGGGTACATGCCCCACCTCAGGAACAGGGCAAATGATGCAGAAAGGAGAAATGATTTATGGAAGGTCTTGTCTTGGGCAGGGGGAAGGGAGACGCGAGGATGGTATCATGCTAAGTGCTGAATGAACAAATGCAGAACAAAATGATAGTCTTTTTTTCCCTACTGCTGCAGTGCGCTGCCTCTGTAAGGAGGGTGCCCTTGTAAGATGGAGCCACAGGTGTAAAGTCGCAAGCTGTGACTAGAGAAGTGGAAAGGAAATTCAGGAGCTGTGTCTCCACTATTTAATTTGAGGGAGCTGCTGCACGTTGGTAGGAAAGTTTGGGAAGGCAGGGGGATACTGCAGAAGATTGTTTTAACTTCGTCCCTGAAACCAAACTGCACATGATTTATTATTTGTATTTTGTTTTTATTAACAAAAACATCTTAATGGGACTGTCACCTTCTCTTCAAACAGTCAGGGGATCTTGTTTTCCCTATTATCGGAGCAAGCAGCATCTCCTATTTAACGTGCTACTGAAAGAGATTGGAGATGAGATGGTCTGTCCCATTCATAAACAATTAAGAGGCGTCTTCATTTTGTTTCCAGTGTGCAAACTTTACAGATGTCCTGCATTTGGCACCTTTAAGTGGACAGGCAATTTTTCCTGTCATTTGTGGGGATTTTTCCAGAGGGGATGTTTGTGTTGCAAACTCACAAAAACTGACAGGAGTGACCCCGGAGAGTGTTGAGTCTGAAACAGCTTAGTCTAGACTTCGTGTTGGTGCCACTTGAAAAGGGTTTGAACTGATTCTTCGATATATTAGATATCTATTTTGGCCTAAGAGTGTTGGTGCCACTTGAAAAGGGTTTGAACTGATTCTTTGATATATTAGATATATATTTTGGCTTAAGGTCCTCTCTGAAGACCAGGGACTGTCAGTGCACGTTAGCAGGGTCCTCCCCGGACACTTAGAACATGGCGGAAGGTTAGCGTGGGGTAGACTGACACTCTGCGTTGTCGCGAAGGAAATGTTTGTGTAAACAAGACCAGGTTTGCGCTGTGGCGGTGATGCCCCGATGTTGCTCAGCATGGTTCTATCTTTGTGTCTAGTGAGGCGCTCGTGGTCCGGGAGTAGTATCGTAAGCTGGTAGGAGGGAAAGTGAGGAAAGGATGATGGGGAAGAATCTGAGTTTGCAGCCTGACACCCTGGCTATTTATTAGTCAGCTGACTGGCCTTGTCTATCCAAGGCCTGGACTCTGATGCAGGAGGCCCTTTCCAGTCCTAAGGTCCTTTAGGCAGTGAAACAAGGACTTCCCTTGGGCTGCGTGTAGTTCCTCCCTTAAAGAAAAAAATTACGGGAGGGAAGCTGAGAGGTTCATCTGCTGCTATCTGTCATGGTGTAGGTAGTTTTTCCAGTTCTTCTTCCCTTCATTTTTGCATGAGCAGCTAAACGAGCCACTTCCCAGTGTGAAATGAGTAGGAGTGGCCCTCTTCTGTGCCAGGTTGGTGGATGTTGGAACTGGTGGAGCGGAGTGAGTTTGGGGAACCCTGTTCTATGTAGTACCTGGCTGCACCAGTAAAGCTGCTGATGCTGAATGTTCTCTTCTGGGAATAAGAGCCAGCTCTTCAGTGGAGCTGGGTGTCGTCTGGCTCCAGGTGGTCTTTCTCGAGGAGTGACTTGCACTAGAACTGTGTCATGACAGGGACTTTGTCGATTTCCTCTTTCTTGCTTTGATTAGCTGACCCGGGGCCAAGGCGTGTGAATCTCAAAGCTGCTTCAGTCCTTGGCCTCCAGACAGCAGGGCTTACAATATAAAACTTTAACCAACATGTCCAGTGCATGGTCCTGCAGATACACCATATCCCACCCAGAATTCTCTAGGTACTGTGGCCTCACCATATTGGAGTTAGAGGGTCTGTCGTCTTAGGACTCCAGCTAACTGGTTCTGATCTGCTCCTTCGTAGGCAAAGCCTGTCTATGGCGGTTGGCTGCTGCTGGCACCAGAAGGGACGGACTTTGACAACCCTGTGCACCGTTCCCGGGTAAGGAAAGCAAAAAATCTCTCTCTCCAGTCTAGCTGTCAAGGCAAATCGACCTGGGGGGCTTGGGGTGGATCATGGGATGGGGGAGGTGAGCAGGTGGACTGGAAATGCTGGGAGGGGTTCTGAGAGGTTGGCTGCTCCTTCGGTGTCCAAGTTCCTCTCTCCCATATGTTCCAGTCCCGTTGCAAGTGTCCTGCTTTGCTATGAGTTACATTGGCCAATGCTCGATGTCCCACGGCAATCAGGCAGAAGGGCAAAGGCCCCTGTGGGTGCTGTCGATAGTAAATGGAATAGATGCCTGTTGGTGGGAGAGATCCAGCAGTGAAGGGGTTAAAAGACCCCCTCCCATCTCTAGAATCTGAATGGTGTAGGCTGTTCTGCTGGTGGCCAGCGGACGCTGACTTCCTTCCTGCCCACTGCAGGGTTGTCATGAGCGCGGACCTGAGAGCGCTTCTCTGGGTAGCTGGTCCTTGTTGCTTGTGCGATGCACAGAAGCATGGGTGGGATGGTCTCCGAGGCTACGTTCATGACGACCTGGTACGATCAATGACCAGAGGCGTTGGGTTCAAGCTGCAGAACCTGGATCCCAATTTTAGAAGCCTCCTGCTGCAGCTTGGTTGCTGGGAACCCATCAATAATGATCCCTTTAGGCAGCATTGTCAACCACAGGGCAGCGCAATGCCAAGTCAGTCACCGGCCCCAAGGGGCACTCGGCCTACAGGCAAATGGTGCAGGTGTGGTAGCAAATGGCAGTGCCAAACCATTAGACTGCCTAACAGTGTTCCCTCTAAGCTGCCTGGCAGCACAGATTCACAGGAGATTCATTAGCCCCACCCAGTCAGAGGCTCAGGGCTCCATGCATGGAGCTCACTGACTGGATGGGGCTGATGAATCGCCTGTGAAGCTGGGCTGCTGCACGGCTTAGAGGGAACACGGCCACCTAGGCTTCCTGTAAACATCTGGGGTCTTGGCAGATGTTGGCTGGAGTAGGTGGCTTGTGCTTGCCTCTGCCTTCCCAGCCTGGAGACCCGGGGGCGTTCTAATGATGCCGGTCAGTGGGCTAACTGGGGTTGGTCAGGCATCCCAAGTGACTTTAAGAACTAGCTTAGTATGGCCCAGAGACAGCCCAAGTGAGATTCTCCAGCTGTGTGAAGGCTGGGGATCCGGGGCTGAGACAGCCCCATGCCTCATCCTTGCTGGCGCACAGGAGATGTGAGATTATAATGGGGGGAGGCGGAGTGGAGGGGGCTGCCTGGGATCTGCAAGCTGAGAATGGCCAGGTGGGGAGAGTCCTCCAGTATGTGTCTGGATCCTAGGCACACTGCATTCCCCCCTAATGCTACAGGCATAGGACATTCTTGAATGAATGCAAGGGAGGGGGGTGTGGGGGCTGAAAGGCAGATTGGCTGGGATGATGCACCTAGGCAGAGTGGAAGCTGGTGGCAGGTTTCCTAGGCAAAGAGTTCTGCTAGGGGAGAGAATCACGTTTCTGGTCTAAGGGGCCCAGGTTTGCCTCAAGCTCCAGTTTTTCGGCCCAGCGGCGGGGAGTTCTAGCCTCCGCTCTCTGTACATCCACCTGGTACCAACACGTGCTCCTCGAGTCTATGCCACCGCTTATCCTTCCCAGCCACTTCCTGTGTTATCTGAGACGCGGCTGACCTAACTCAGGATCTGGCTGCAAATAACCCAGCACTGCTTTGGATGCCCATGTAAGGAAGTCAGACAGTAAATCAGCTTTAGAAAACTCAGACTGGTGTGAGCGCGGGCCTCCCACGGAGCCCTGGCAGGTCACCCGACGGGGAGCCAGGATTTCCAGAGTCGCTGCTGTCCATCTCCCTCCCCCTGTTTTAAAGATACACTGCCATCCCGGTCAGTGCCAAAAGGCAACGCGCACCAAGGTGTGCGGGGCAGCTCTGCAGGGTGGGCAGCTCCCTTTGCCTGGTGTGCAGGCCTGAGGGGGTGTTGGTTCTAACATGGCCTCCACATCTCCAACTGGATTTCTTTGACGTCCAGGGTGGTGCGAGAATTGCCCAAGTGCTAGGCCGGAGCGCAGTGACCCATGGTATCCGTGCTTTGGCTTCTCCTTCCCTGGGAAACCCCATGCTGGTTGGAGTTGCAGCCCACGCTGGATCGTTTCTGCTGCTGATTCGTAGCCGTCTGCAGAGCCTTCTGGGGGTGCAGTGGCATGCTGAGGTTGCGGGGCTGTGCCGTGCGGCTGAGCTCTCCGCAGGCCGAGGGATCCAATGGCCAGACCTAGGGGAGGAAGCAAACTCGGCCTGTAGCAGCTCTCTGGCAAAGGAGCTCTGTTGACCAGTGTCTTCTCTTCCAGAAATGGCAGCGCCGGTTCTTCATCCTCTATGAACATGGCCTCCTGCGCTACGCCCTGGACGAGATGGTAAGCAGCGCCTCCTGGAGGCGGACGTCCCCTGCTCCCTGCCCAGACGGAGGGCTGGAAATGGGCTCTCCTGGCCTGCCCTGTGGTGGGTGTGAGAGGCCCGGGGCGGATGGCGTGAAGCAGGGTTTTGCTGGAGTGTTGTATAGCTTGACAAGCAGCCCTGTGCCAGGAATCCCAGGGATCTGAGGAGCTAAGTGGCTGGGCTGGGCTTTGGTGGGGTTGCTAGTGCCCCCTCCTGGGGACTCTGTTCTGGGGACCCTGCATCAGCCTGTGTGGGGCTGGGGGTGGTGGAAAAGAGCCCCTGAGCTTCAACCGGTGGCGGTGTATGTTGAAGGGGAAGCGTGGGAGGAGGCTGAGTGCTTGCCTCAGGTTCTCACGAGGGGGTGGGAAACGGAGGGCACGTCTTGCGCTCCCGCCCCCCTCCGTGGTCCCAAGTGTTGGGGGAGACGTGGGAAATGTGCAGCGCTTGCTCTCCAGCCGGCAGGAGGGGAATGGGTGCACCGCAGGAGGCCTATACTGGGGCAACGTTGGCTCCGTTCCAAGGACCCTTCCTGTTCCGAGAGTCTCTTGGTTTCCTTGCCGGGTGGGTTCGGAGGGTTTTGGCTCTGGAGGATTGAGCCCTTCTGAAGCAGGGCTGGGGTGTCTTCCTGCTTCTCTTCTCTTCCCGGGCCCTGAATTCCCATGACGTGGGCAGCAAGGCTCCGTTCTGCGTGAAAACCCTCTCCCCTCTCTCCAGGCTGCTGATCTGGGTCCTTTGCCTGGCTCCAGCATGATTGGCTGTGGCTTTTATCCTCCCGAGTGTTGTGTTTTGTGTCTCCCAGTGCTGGGCTTAGCGCTTTCCTGCTCCGAGGGAGAGGTGTGCTGGCGTGGATCTGTGCACGCACACGGGATGGGAAAGGGCTGTGCAAAGGCATGCATGTTGGGGCGGCGTGTGCAAGTGCGAGCATGTCGTGGGGCAGGGTCTAGGGGAGTGTGCATGAGGCTCAGTCACACTGTAGGTGTCTGGGGCGGAGGGCACCTTTTAGCTTCCCAACGCTCCCCTGCCCTGGGGTAGAGTGGGCTGGGTGATGTGTGGTTACACAATGGCGTGTACCCAGAGGAGCCAGAGGTGGCGGATCCATGCTCGGAGCTTCTGCATGCTGGGCTCTCTCCCGAATCGCTCCTTGGCGGCAGCTCCCAGCTGGAGCAATTGCTCTGAGCTGGCGGTGTTCCCCTGCCTTTCTGGGGGATGGTCCTGGCATTGCATTCTCTGCAGTTGCATCACCCCCGCACCCCATGGAGAGAGGTCCTTGACTGGCTTCCCTGCCAATCCCCCCTTCATTCCATGCAGGATATCCCCTGGGCAGTTATTTGCAAGAGCGTGAACCTGTATGTGAAAACAAAGGACACAATTTGCCCCCTCCCCCTCTCCCCTTTATTTTTATTTCTTCCTCTGAGGGTTGATCCAAGTCTCCTAAATAATTTATGTGGCTCAGGCAGAAGCAGCGGAGCCTTACAACACGTTTTTAGTATCTCGGCAACTTGGCTCCTCGTGGGGGTAATATTTCAGGGGGATTCAAAAGGAAGGCTGCGCTCAGCCGGCTTATAGGCAGGAGACCCAGATCCTAGGAGGGCCAAGATGGAAGGGTTAGTGAGATGCCAGGAAAACTTCTGCCTGCTTAGTGGCTCCACTGTCCTGTTCCGAAGGTCTTTAAAAGCTGAATCAAGGCTGGCTTGTTTCCATCGGCCCTGTATATTTGTGGTCAATGGGCGGGTAATGCTGGGTGGTGGCATGGCCCAGTGGTTATGGCACAAGGGGTGTATTCTCTGAATTCCTCACTATTGCTGGGGCTCGAGAGCTCATGTAGGGCTCAGGGTAGCATATGCTCGTCTCCTTGGAGAAAGATGCAGCCCCACGCTCTCTAGGATGCTTGGGATGAGTCCGCATAACTGAGGCTTTGTCTTTATTAAGGTGTCAACCTCCAGGCTACGTCTGCACTGCAGGCTGTTCTTGCACAAAAGCTTGCGGCGCGTCTACACTGCACGCGCATTCTTGCGCAAGTAAATTTACAGTAAAGTGTTGGAACAGAGGGCTTCTTGCGCAAGAGTTATTCCTCTCCCCATGATGAATCGGCCCTCTCGTGCAAGAAGGCAGTGTGGATGGGCAACAGGTTAAACTGGCTAAAATGGCCATCCGCTTTCTTGTGCAAGAGAGCATCCGCACTGCCATGGAAGCTCTTGCACAAAAGCACATGGCAGTGTGGACGCGCTCTTGCTCAAGACCTTTTGTGCAAGAACTCTTGGGCAAAACCATTCTTGCGCAAAAAGCCTGCAGTGTAGATGTAGCCCCAGTGTTAATTGTGCAGGTGCAAACGTGGTTTACACTGGTTTGGTATAACTTGCACCTGTGCAGCTTACTCCAATTTGTACCAGTGCATGCCCTGGTTTATACAGTGCAGTGCGTTTTTACTAAGTGTGCCTCTGCCTTAAGTTCTCTGCCAGGATATCAAATCTTGTTCAGTCAGTTAACAGGTTAAACTTGTTTCCAGCCTTGTGTGAGGCCCCCGACCCCCAGCCACCATAGGTTGGGAGCTGGCAGTCCTGTGGGCTCCTCCCGAGTAGTGGTTAATTGTTAACCATTTACCCATTCACATCCCTAGTCCTCTGTAGCTGAGGCCTGAATGAGAGTCCTTATCTGTGGAAGGAACTGGCTGCCTAGTCAGGGCAGTAGGTTGCAACCTCAGGGCTGGTGTGACCCGCTCAGAGGTCACCCAACTGGTCAGGAGCACAACTGCAGACTCCCAGCTCTGTGCCCTGTCCTGGGCCACGCTGCCTCTTGCACTTTTGCAGGAGGAGGGTAGGTCTGAGCCCTGGCGTGTTGGTGCTGAAGGGGGGCGGGGATGTGCTGTTGCAGGCTGGAAGTGCTAATGGCCCAGGACGCTCTATACTGCAGGGGAACGGTGCTTGATGAAATATGAAGGGCGAACAGGTCAGACCGCAATTCTCTAGGCACCTCCTGGGCTGGTGAGGCTTAAAGGGAAATGGCTGAAAAGCAAATGACTAGAAAGCGAAGGAAATGCATGGAAATGCGTGTAGGAAATGCCTGTGTCTAGGGGTCAGGTGGATCAGTCTGTACAGACCCAAAACAGCTTCTCACATGCAAGTGGCTGGTTGGCTTTACTGCTCTCTGCCATCTCTAAAACCTCCTTTGTGCAGGAGCAGAGTATGTAGCTGAGGATGTGGTAGAGGCGAAGGAGCCAGCTTGGTGGGTACTCCAGCTTAGGGATGCAAACAGGTAACCAGTCACTGGGTGAGCATCACAGGTCAGTTAACCGGTTAAATGTATAGTTTAACTGATTAACATTTTAAACAGGATGTTAGGGCCCTACTCCAGATCCTGCTCTGATTCAGCCCAAAGTCCCTTATAAGTAACCGATGCTACCTAATGGAATTTGTCTCGGACCCTAAATCTTGCAGAACATGTGATGTCTCTTCTCTCGGGGGGGCAGTCTCCAAGTTTGTGAAAGATTTCCTTCGCCTTCAGATATTGGGAACATAAGAACGGCCAACTGGGTCAGACCAAAGGTCCCTCTAGCCCAGTGTCCTGTCTGCCGACAGCGGCCAATACCAAATGCCCCTGAGGGAGTGAACAGAAACAGGTAATCAAGTGATCCCTCTCCCATCCTCCATTCCCAGCCCCTGACAAAATGCATCTCAGGAACTAGGACCAGCAATGCTAGGACTCTTGGGGTCTGTTTCCAACTCTTTTGGGTGACCTTGGACAAGACCCTGTCCTGGTGCCTCAGTTTCCCCATCTGCAGATGGAGCTATTCTTTTGTGTGGGGCACCATGGCTGAAAAGTGCTACAGTTTTCTCATGCTGAGTGTTCACATCTTTCTTGTTGGTCTCAACGTGATGCAGGTGAAGTCTGGGTGCAATGTTTCCCCCTATCGTGTCTGGGGGCTCGGCCTTCAGGTCCATAGAATCATAGAACCATAGAACTGGAAGAGACCTCAGAAGGTCATCAAGTCCAGCCCCCTGCTCTAGGCAGGACCGATCCCAACTAAATCAACACCTCTAGGGATGGAGACTCCACTACTTCCCTAGGTAACCCATTCCAGTGCTTCACCACCCTCCTAGTGAAATAGTTTTTCCTAATATCCAACCTGGACCTCTCCCACCACAACTTGAGACCATTGCTCCTTGTTCTGCCATCTAGACTTTGCAGCAGGAGCACCACCATTGGGACATCATCAGACCTTTCCCTGCTGGCCACAGAAGTGTGAAGGGTCACAAGCAGGTGTCCCAACGAGCTGTGGGAAGTTGGTGCCCTGCGGTCTGAGCGTGCGGGCTGAGTGCTACTGCCAAATGGGAAGGAGGTGGTATAGCAAGGGAAACGTCGCTTACCTTGGGGTATGAGCAGTCCAGGCCACAATGCTGGGGCCTGTAACGAACTCTTCCTGGCATATGCAGAGGGCTTTATTCCTCAAGGCTCTCAGCTGCCGTGCCGCAGGGAGAGGGGGCACCCTGCATTCGGGGTGTCTTGCCCCAGAATGTGCGGTGTAACGTTCCAAACCCATTGAGGTCAGCAGATTGAAGCAGTTGCCTCTCCCCTTCTGCCTCCCGCTGCCCAGGCTGGTTCAGAGCCCACCCTGCAGTTTAGTCTGCCTGTTGTGCCAAAATACACCTCCCCCGCTCCTAGCTTTTCCCAAAGAGCTGTCCCTCTGTGCCCTGGTGCCTGGCGGGCATTTGGAGCGACTTAATGGTAGCTCCTGGGCAAGAGCCTGGGGTTGGCAGCCCAGTGATCACCACTTGGCCTGGTCTGCCCCTGACTCCTGGGCACAGCTGTAAGGGAGGGAGCCATGGGGCAAAGGCAGCTCTGCTGACTGGCTCTCTCCATCCGGCCTCCCAGCCTGCTGCACAGCAGCCCCTACAGTGAGATGGCACCTCTGCATGCACTGGCCTAGTGGGAGATCTCAGGGTGAGAAGGTGGTTTGGGGCTTGATTCACAGCCTGGCTGG